TTCATTATTTTCTCATATATTCTTCTAAGTGGTATAGCACTGGTCTGTCCATTTGCTGTACAGAAGTAACTTGTGGTTGCTGTGATGCTGAACCCTGTACAATTGATGTGTCAAATGCAATAATGGTTATCCATGGTGAACAGTGTTTGGTGGAGCTCCCTGATTAAAACAAGCTTGAAAGCAGGAGTGGCATCCACTTCTGAAATAGCTTGCCTCTGGAAGGCCTACGTACTTGGACAAACAATGAAAGTTATACAGGTGTTCAGGTCTTTCGCTCATTGGGTCTCTCTGTGTCATATATGACTTGACAGCACTTAACAAACAACAACAACAACATCCTCATGTATTTGTATAATAGCATATAAATGGCAAACTTCTTTCTTTTTGAATAGTCAAAATTTCTTTAATTCATGATGTTGATAGTTTGAAATTTATAGATAGAGATACCTTCCTTGGGTTTTCCAAGGCATTGTTTAGCTGTTTACGGCACAGAAATTATTTACCTTTGTATGTAACTTGCTCTTATCACTGAAAGCTTTTTATATCTTCTTGTGTTCTGAATTTCACAGGGGTGTGGGCCCTTTCATTCTGAAAACTGTAATCTTTCTAACTGGGTCACTGCTCTTGCTCCTGCACTGGGTGTACTGATGACTGAGGGAGGCCATGGGCACCCTGTTGGGGATGTGTGATTTCTCAGTATGCAGGACTGTACTTTTTGTGTAATTTTCTTATCCTGAGGGATGACTTTTCAAGTGTCCCCAAACTTTGTCACTAGTCAAGGAAGAACATATTCTTCATCATCATTATTTTCAGTTATTTACTGCACTTCTTCCACTTGGGGAACATTTTTTGGTCTTACTTAAAAATATATTTGGTGTGGTAAATACACACACACACACACAACATATCTATCATCTATCTATCTATTATCTGTCTATCTATCTATCTATCTATCTATCTATCTATCTATCTATCTATCTATCAGAGCACTCTGGTGTCCTAGTGGATAGGTTTTGCTCGTAATCCAGAGATACCAGCTGCTCAAAGGAAGAAAGATGGGAAATCTCCTTCTGTGTGTGATTTCCAGCCTCTGAAAACCTGATAGAGGGTCATCTATCAGTCACTTCAGATGCAAGAGCAACTAACAAATATATGTGTATGTGTAGTGAACATTTTCCATTTAAATAATTTTGAGTGTAAAATTCCTTGCCTTTAATTGCATTTACCATGTTACGCAGTCATCTTCATTATGTCCAAAAGTTTTTATCACTTCAAACATAACAGTGCTGCTTAAAGACAGTGGCTTTTCATTCTACACTCCCCACTACTGTTGTGTTGTGTTTATGTGCCATCTGGTTGGAACCAAGATATGATCTTGAGTTTATCCTATGTGAATTTAAAATTCATCTTAAGAATATAAAACCATTATTGTAGAATGAGTAGAAGGATCCAAAAGAGGTGGGAGAGCGTGGAAGCAGAGGGATGAGGATGTGCAGGGGGAGGAGGGAATTAATCATGGGATTGCACAATTTGATGGGGGCAGAGTGAAGGAAATTGGGAGACCAGACGAGTTGTGGGAGGAGATTAAGAACACCTCCCATGAAGAGAGTTAAAAAGTCAGAAGAGAAAGAAAAGAACTAAATAGATATCAGAGAAGTCCCTGAAAATTGCGTTGGTGCATTGAGAAGCTGAAACAAAGTGAAGAAATGCTGAAGGAAAAGAGCTGAACTGAAGATTTTAAAGGGAAGCTTTGGAAGACAAAACAAACTGCTATAATGGAATGTACAGAGAGAGACCTAAGATGAGGAATAAAAAGGGAAAAGCTCGCTCAACATTTCTCAAACAGAAAACCAAATTCAAGCCTTGAGTTGCAGTACTTAGGGATGCTAAGAGCAAAATCTTGAATGATCCTGGAAACGTTATATGAAGATGGAGGAAAACACAGAGTCCCTGTACTAAAAAGAATTGGCCAACACTGACTGAAATATTTCAACAAGTACCATATGATCAAAACCCAATAAAAAGGAAGGAATAAATTCAAGCTGCATTAAAAGTATTGACAAAAAAATAAGGCCCCATGAATAGGTGGGATACCAATTGAAATGTTTTAAATGACAGATGCGGTTCTGGACATGCTCAACAATCTATTTCAGGAAATTTGGAGAACAGCTTCCTGGCCAGTTGACCAAAAGAGATCAGTGTTTGTTCCCATTTCCAGGGAAGATGATTGAACAGAATGTGAAAATTATCAAACAATATCAGTTGTGAAAACTAAGTCAGGTGCTGATTGTGGAACAGACCATCAGCTACTCATCTACAAGTTGAAACTGAAACAAAAGAAAGTGAAATCCATAAGAACGAAAATTTGGCCTTGATTCTACCCCACTTGAATTAAAAAACAACAGCAACAACAACATTAAATAATCTTAAGAACAAGCTTGAGGCCTTGAACACTGAAGAATGAAGACCAGATGAGTTGTGGAGGATATCAAGAATATCATCCATGATGAATGTAAAAGTTCATTACAAAAACAGAAGAGGAAGAAAATATCGAAGTGAATGTCAGAAGATACTCTGAATATTGCACTAGAGCACTAGAAGCCAAAACAACAGGAAGAAATTAGAAAGTTAAGAAACTGGCCAGAAGATTTCAAAAGACAGCATGCGAAGACAAAGCAGAGTATTACAATGGAATGTGCAGAAAGCTAGAGTCAGAAAATCAAAAGGGCTGAACCCACTCAGCATTTCTTAAGTGTGAGGGATTTTTTTTTCTATAATTATATTTTATTAATTTTCATAAACATTTACAGAGATTT